CCCCCCGCACCCCCCCCCCCCCCACGACGCCCGCCATCGCCGAACATCAAAAAACGCCTTCCAACAGCAACGGACCCCTGTGCAGGCGGCGGTGTTCCCAAGCCGCTCGCAGAGGCCGCTCCGTCGGAAACCGCCGCCAGTGGCGTTGGAGGCGAAGCCGCCACGGTCGTGGCGGACATTGTAGCAGTGGCTTCTATGCCCCCGCCCGCTCCGAGCTCTGCTTCGACTGAAGTCGTGGCGCCGCCAGTTCGAGCGACGCTGCTGCCAATTCCTTGCGCGGCGCCCGTCTCGCCAGCAGCGCAGGCGACAGTCGCGTCGCCCGGGCCCGCGGTCGCGGGGCATAATGCCATGCCCGCCAAGAAGACCAAGGAGGAGGACATGGAACCCATAATGCTGGACGGGGGCCTGTGGAACGCGAAGGTGGCAGCAGAAATAAACAGGTTCATTGTTGCCATGGGGGCGCCGCGTAGCTACATAGGGATCGGGATGTTCGTCCTGTTTGCTGTTCGCTATCGGGTTCGCGTGACTTTGTGGTGCGGCGATAACTGTGAAGATGCCTTGCGAACGTACGCCCCATGGGCAAGCGACGCTGTGACAAGCTTCGCCAAATGTCATGCGATCTCCTGCTCTTTCGGGAATGGCGCCCTCAGGGCTGTGGAGGACCATGGGCAGCAAACGAATCGCTGGGTCGCAGGCGTTCCCGTGGCAAAGGAGCAGGGCCATGGTGATGGCTTTGCTTTGGCAGACAGCGACTGCGATGACGCGCGCTTGTCTGCTGCGAAATATTTGCCCCACTCCCTGAAATCGCTTGCGACAGTGACCGATGGGGATTGCGGCCTCGACGTGATGTGTCTGATGCTTGGTTGGAGCCGGAGCGTGAGCAATCGGACTGCTCTGCGGACCGAGTTGTGCGCTTGCGCTTTGCGGCACATGGGCAATCGGGCCCTCGTCGCGATGTTGCGTCGCGTGGGGGAGATCACCAACCATTTAGGCCTCCGCGATTTAGACGCCGCGGGCGCGCTGTTAGTCGTCGCGCCCCCCCGAGATGGAGGCCAGCACAGCCATGGTTATGGTGCAGTGCTACCAGCTTGCGGCAGTCGACAGCGCCATGGCGACGGCGACAGCAGCGCCGTGGCGACGGCGACAGCAGCTCAGGGGCAGGAAGGGAGACACTTCAGTGAAGACGCGGTGGCTGCCATGAGATGGAAATGGAATCTGCCCAATGCGGGGCGCGAGGTTGTCATTGCTATGCTCCATCGCCTGCCTGAGACTCGCGTGAACACCGCGGTCGCTGAATGGCAGAACCGCGCACCTGTGCAAGGAAAGGCCCCTGAGGCGCAGGAGCGCTTCTTGATCGCGCGCGACGCGCTCCAGTGGCAGATGCGACAGGCAGCGATATACTTCCTCGATTAGGTAGCGAAAGCCCACGGTCCAGACCTGCATATGCAGGCTGCTTTGAAGAGCGCAAAGTTTCCACTTGGTCTTTTTTGCTTCCTTTGCGAAAGCCCATCCCGGATTGACAACACATTTAGGTAAAAAGGTATATTCTGAAGCCAAAGCATCGCAAATGGGATTCCGCGAGGAAGCTATACATGCGCGCTGCGTCTGCATCCCTGAAGTCAACCCACGGTGGCGGGGGCGGCGGTCGCGGGCGCGGCGGGGGCGAAGGAGGGGCAACTGACCTCGCGGTAAAAGCGGGGGCAACTCACCTCGCGGTAGCGGGGGCGCAGCTTTCCTGACTGGGTACGCAGTGCAAACCTCCTGCCGATCGCGCGGTTCGCGACTGGGAGCGCTGCAGGGCGTGCGGCCACGGAGGCAGACGCAGGCTGTGCCAGACCTTGCGGGTTCAATTGGCCGAGTGGTTCAGCATCGTGCGCCACAGCGTCGACGTGAAGCCCCTGTGCCGTTCCCCGAAGCGGTGCCCGATGACGAAGGCGATGCAGTTGCAACAAGACTTTTACATTGCCAGCGTGGCCAAGGGCCAACCTTTCGAGAAAGTCGTAATCAGTCCAAATTGGCTGCGCGGTTGGATGGCGGAATGCAAGATTTCATCGCGCAGGCCGAATCGCAAGTTCAAGGTGCCGAAAGCAATCTTAGCAGAGCGGCTGCGCATTTTCTGGGCCGTGGATGCGGCCCCGCGCAAGTTCGCATTGCTGCATTTCGGCTCCGGTCCGCAAGTGCGGGACCTGGACCAACGCCCGTTCCACATGAACGAGGCAGGGAGTGTAGCCACCAACGCGCTGGCCATCAAAAATGCGCCAACCGCCCCCCTTGTCGAGAACCGTGCGGCGACGAGGGGGCGGTGGGGTTTGAATTCGGCCACTGATTCCTGCTCAGAAAGAATCATGCGCGAATTGCCAGGGTGCGAGCTGATGTTCAGGGCAGAGGGCAAATCTGCGGGGGGCAAGTTGCAGGGGCATGTCGAATCGACGTGTCTGCCGTTCATATTCTCTGTGGTGACGGGGCCGAGTGGTTCCTACAGGGAGCGCGATATTTTGAATTATCTTGGCTGAGCCTCGCCCCGCAATGCCCCCCCTCCACTCCTGCCGCCTTAGCGCCCTCTCCTCTCTATCAAGCCTTCCCCCCTCCTACTCTCGTTCCTCTTTCCTCCGTGGTCTTCGTCCGTGCCCCCCTTCCACTCCTACTATGTGCGCCGCCAGATGCCCCTTCACGGGGTGGGCGGATGTTTTGGAAAAGTGGTTGGAGCCGCGGGGCCCTGGCAGACCGTGGGCTTTTCCTTGTTGGACGCGCGCGCGCGCCAGGGCTCGCTGATCATGTCCAACGTGTGTGTTGGAGCCGTGGGCGCACCTGCGTGACTCGCGGTGGCGGGGCTTCCTTGGTCTACCAAACAAATGATGCAGATTTGCGTTTGCACGCCCGCAGGGGGTTCATTGAATTGCAGACGGACAAGATGTTGCAGAAGGTGCGCCGCCAAGGCGGCGGATTGGTGGACTTGACGAAACAAGAGAATGTGGATATCATGGTGGAGGTCATGTGCGACAGAGAACTTCACTTACATTCGTGTCGAGGATGCAAACTCACTGGTGCGACGGTCGCCCTGGGCGGCTCGGAAGATCGTATGAAATGCAGAGAAGCAACATATTTCTGGGGTGAGTTGGGCATGCGAGCTCGTCTGGACTCTGCGGTGGCGGAAGTTTCGGAGAAGTGCGCTGCCGGCCTGTTGCCGTGGACGTGCCAGACAGTTCAGTCACTCATCGCGCCGCTCCCTAAACGGGACCACCTCGATGAGACTAAAATCGGAAAAGAAGACGAAATCGCGCCTGACCCAGACGGCGCGCCTTGGGAAACGGACGAGGCTCGACGAGAAGAAGAAGAAGAAGAAGAAGAAGAAGGAGACGCGGAACTGCCCCAAGCCGAGGAAGACGACGATCTTTTCAAGGATGATTGTGGGGTATTAGATCCCGCAGATTGGGCGAATCCAGAGGAAGCTTCGCGCGCCCATGGAGCGAGCAAGGCAAAGGCGGACCATGATGGCGGCGGCGCGGAGAACGAAGGTCAGGCACCTGGGGCCCAGGGCTTGGGAGACGAGCAGGTAGAGTTCGTCGTCGAGGAGTCCTCCAGGGTGAGGTCTCTCCAGGAAGGCTTGGGCATCTTCAAGAACACGCGCGCTCATGTGGGCGCCCAGTTGGCAGGAACTGCGGCGGCTGTGATTCGCTGCGAAAGCAGACGGTTGAAGGGGCTGGCCAAGGGGGGCGCGGCAGTGCACGAGGAATTGCGCACGGCGTTGCAGAGCGACGCGGCGACTGCTCGACAAGGGGGGCGCGAGTTTAAAGAGCGCATGGAGATGAAGAGGGAGAAAGAGCGTCTGAAGCAGGAGTTGAAAGAGGCGACAGAGACGCTCCAACTAATCAACAAAAAAAGAGCAAAGCGAGCAAGAAGCTGCGGTAACGGCGATGGAGCAGATAAGTTTTTTTTTTGTCTCAATGGAGGCGCTTGGGCGCGGAAAGAAAGGTGGTGGACATCAGGGCCACCAAAAGGCGCGTTTCCAAGTATTGCAGACTCTTCGGAAAGCCGCCAAGTTATCGCCTGAGCAGACGAGCCAATGGGAGTTCTTCGAGGTCCAATGTGACGCCAAGATGGCAGATGCCCACGGCGATGGTTGGGGCCAGTTGTTTGCGGAGGTGGTGCAGAAAGTTGTGGGCGAGTTGGTCGGTGGTCGCAAAGACGCGCTCTCTCTCTCTCTCTCTCTCTCTCTCTCTCTCTCTCTCTCTCTCTCTCTCTCTCTCTCTCTCTCTCTCTCTCTCTCTCTCTCTCTCTCTCTCTCTCTCTCTCTCTCTCTCTCTCTCTCTCTCTCTCTCTCTCTCTCTCTTCTCTCTCTCTCTCCTCTCTCTCTCTCTCTCTCTCTCTCTCTCTCTCTCTCTCTCTCTCTCTCTCTCTCTCTCTCTCTCTCTCTCTCTCTCTCTCTCTCTCTCTCTCTCTCTCTCTCTCTCTCTCTCTCTCTCTCTCTCTCTCTCTCTCTCTCTCTCTCTCTCTCTCTCTCTCTCTCCCTTCGCGCGCAATGGGGCGAGGCGAGTGTTGGGGGGCGCGCCCGCCGCGGTGTTGCCGGGGCTCCGGCGCCTTCGATGCGCGCCGCGGTGGCGGCGGAGATGCCCCGCCGCGGCCGCTGTGGCGCGGCGCCTGCGTCGAGCGGGCAGCTGACTCCGCGGTTTTTCCGCTGCGGGAAAAAAAACAATCATTTGCGCGCGCTTTCCACCTCGTCCTCGTTCTCCTCATCGCCGTCTCTGCCCTCCCGACCATTCGTCTCCTCCTCGCCCCCCCCCCTCCTCCTCGAGATGTCCACGTGCTAATAGAAAGGTAACCGCGAGATACTCACATAGAAGGTTTGTCTGGGCGTTATTTGCAATGCGCGTGCGACGGCGACGCGCTCCTCCAGCGCAGCTCCTTGTCGCTCCCTTTCTCCCGTCCCATCCTCGCCCCCCGCCCCCCCGCGCGCTTCGCGGCTTCTTGTTGGCCCGAGCCTGCGGCCTTTGCTGTGCGCCATGGCCGGCTTGCCCTTCATTGTGCCCCATGGTAATGGAGCGCGCGAGGTGGGCGCGGAGTCTGACCGCGTGAGCTTGCCGACTTCTGCGCCCATCGACGCGTCGGGCCTGCCGGGGGGCCCGCGCCTGCCGCCCGATTTGGCCGAAGACTACGACGAAGACGGAGAATTCATCCTGAGGCCTGTTTGGAATGACAACGCAGAGGGCGACGTGGGCTCGCGGGGGGAGCAGCGCCAGGGTAGCGGCGGCCCTGACCAGGAAGAGCGTCGTGGCAGCGACGCCATGGGCCAATTTGGTATCATGACTGCCAACTGGGGTGGCGAGAGGCGGGAATGCGTGCGCACATGAATCGTGACCTCAAAAGTTCCGCGTGCCAGTTCCTCGCCATTCAGGGGGCCGCCCAAGACTTGCTAAGGTTTATGAAGCAAGATCCTGGCGTGGACGAGGCCGACAGCCCCGCGGTGACGGGGCATCGGCCCCTACGACAATTCATCGGAGCTGCAGGCATTGATCGGGGAAGCACCATAATGATCTTCGCTAGGCCGCCCCACGTGAAAGGGATGCGGACTCTAGTGTTCCACCGGACCGGAGTTGGAACATACTCGATCACCCAGAAGAACAGAGCTAGGACGCGGGTCACGAAGATTGCCGTCAGTAGGATGCTGATAGCATCCGCCAAGATGAGGTTTTGGCAGACTCGCGGTAGCGGGGGGGGTCGCGCTGACGACCAGGCCGCAGACGAGTTCCGTTTGGCGAACGTGCACCTCAACCACAGGACGGCGAAGCGCGACCTCCAGGGTGGTGGAGTGGCATGCAACAGATTTTGGGATCTGCTGTCGCGATGCTTGGCATAATTTCGACCTGCGATCTTTTGCGGCGACTTCAACATGGCGTTCTTCTGCGTAGCGCCGGAACTGCGGGCGCGCGGCTTCCAGGTCAATCTGGCAGCGTGGTGCTGTTGGAAACAGGAGCACGAAAGCAAGGTCCGAGCGGACTCGCGCGGCATCTTTCGCTTGGGGCCGCACTCAGGAGTTCGGCTGTGCTACGGCATCTCTGCGTTTGGGATGGGCGGCCTCGACTTGCCTGAGAACTGCCCCATGGTAATGGAGACCTTGCGCGACGCGCGCAATAAAGAAACATGCCAGCGCCCCTGCCCCATCACAAGCATCCCCTTTATGGGGCGAGGCCCCCCCCTCGACAGCTACCGCCCGAAAGTCCCAGCGCGAAGGGATCAGCGCGTGAGGTGGGCGTTCGCGCCTGTCTTCGATGAATCTTCGCCCGCGGTAGCGGAGGTGTTGCGAAGCGCCTCCACCGACAGTGGCGTGTTCCCGTATGGAGTGGGCCCTTCCATAGGGTCCGCTTCGTGGACTTGACGCTCCTTGCCCTTGTCGAAGCAGGGGCCCGCAGACTTCGATGAGTCCGATCCCCAACGCGAGTTCTTCAAGCGCGGGGCACATCTGCCCTGGATGATCTTCGCGGGCGCGGCCAGCGACGCGCGGCGGTCGAGAGGCGCCCGGGCGCGGCGAAATTGCCGCGCCGACTCGCGCGGCTGGGTCTGGGAAAGGCGACGCTCCATGGCCATCAGAACGGTCGCCGCATCTGCCGAGGGTGGGGGGCGTGAGCACCGCGGAGGCGATGGCGCCCACAGCCGCGGTGGCGGCGTGCAACGGGGCCAGCGCGGCCAGGGTTGGACGAGGGCGGGCGGAGATGGTCAATGGCATGGCCAGGGTGGAACTTGGAGCAGCGCTGATGGAACATGGCAGGGCCGGCAGGGCTGGTAGGATTGGAATTGGCAAGGGTGGCAAGATTGGTCGTGACTGCTGCGCATTCGGAGGCCGCGGTGACGGTCTTTGTTGCTCGCGATGGGAGAACGCCCTACCATCGCGAGCCCAACGGTCAATGAGCGTTGCGCTTGCTGAGAGAAAAGACAGGGAAGAGAGAGGAGAAGCGAAGGAACTAATAGCAATACGTAGGAGAGAAGTAGGAGAGAGGGACAGGGGAAAGCGACATGCGGGCGCGGGTGCCCGCATGCCTTGGGGGATGTGTAGCGACATGCGGGCGCAGGTGCCCGCGTGCCGCGCGACATGCGGGCGCCTGCGCCCGCGTGCCGCTGCCGCCGTCTATTCTCCCACCGCCGTCTATGTGTGAAAACAGATTGCGCGCGTACGTACGTGCGTACGTACGTGCATACATACATGCATATATGCATGCGCTTATACATACGTACGTACGTACGCACATACATACAATTACACACATGCACATACACACATCAATGCTTGCATCCACATACGTACACGCAGAACACATGCAACTATACATATATGATCACACACTTACATCTATACATGCGCACATGCAAATATACATACAACTATACAACCACATACGGTCCTACCTACCTACCTACCTACTGACCTACATACATGTATGATTACATATGTATGTGTACATACATGTGGACGTAAGTGCATCCATCCATCCATCCATACAGACATAAAACAAACATACATTCACACATGCGTACACACATACAGACACACATATATGTGTATTATATATACATATATGCAGTCAAAACGCCTTTCAGCCGCTTCGCCGACCACCAGAAGGCGTGGAGTCTGTTACTTTGGCGTTGTGGGTTTCTTGGGCGCAACGGGGGATTATTGTGGGTGTTTTGGAGGCTGTTTGAGGGCCTGGCAGAGCCTCTTGGAAGCAGTTTTGAAGCGTGTTGGAGGCCGCCTGGGGGCCTCTTTGTGGGCCTCTTGGGCGCCTTTTCGGGCTTGTTGGAGGCCTCTTTTGGTTTGCTGCGCGCCATTTTGGTTTTCGGCGTTCTTTTGGTTTTCGGCGACTTTTTGATGTTCGGCGCCCTTTGAATTTTCGGCTTCCTTTTGGTTTTCGGCGCTTTTTGGTTTTTGGCGCCCCTTGGGTTTTGGGCGCCCTTCGGCTTTCGGTGCGCCTTTGGTTTTCGGCGCTCTTGGTCTTCGACGCCCGATTGGTTATCTGCGACCCTTTGGTTTTCGGCGCCTCTTTGGTTTTCGGCGCGTCGTTGGTTTTCGGCGCATCTTTTGGTTTTCGGCGCCTCTTTGGTTTTCGGCGCCTCTTCGGTTTTTGGCGCAACTTTTGGTTTTCGGCGCCCCATTGGTTTTCGGCGCCCCTTTTGTTTTCGGCGCCCTGTCCGTGCTCGGAGCTTCTGTTGTTTTCGGCGCCCTTTCGTTTTTTTGTTGTTTTGTTTTGTTTTTTTTGTACTTGTGTTGTTTGGTTATCGGCGCCCCTTTGGTTTTCGGCGTCCTTTTCAATCTCGGCGCTCCTTGTGGTTTCTGGCGCCCTTTTGAGTTTCGTTGCTCATTGATTTTCGGCGTTCTTTTATTGTTCCGCGCTGCTCTGGTTTTCGGCGCTCTTCTGGTTTTCGGCGCAGGTTTGGCTTCCGGCGCCCGCTGGTTTCCGAATCCTTTTTTGGTTATCGGCGCTTCTTCGATGTTCGGCGTTCGTTCGGTTTTCGGTGCCTTTCAGTTTTCGGCGCCCCTTTGCTTTTCGGCGCTCTTTTGGAATTCGGCGCTCCTTTGGTTTACGGTTCCCGTTTGGTTGTTGGTTTCCTTTTTTGGTTTTCGCTGCAACTTTTGGTTTTCGGCGCTCTTTTGGTTTTGGGTGCTTCTTTTGGTTTTCGGCGCCCTTTTGGTTTTTGGCGAACCTTCGGCTTTCGGCGCCCTGTTGGTTTTTGGCGTTCCTTCGGTTTCCGGCGCGCCTCTGGTTTTCGCATCCGTTTGGTTTTCTGTGGTTGTTTGGTTTTCGGCACTCTGTTGTTTTTCGGCGCCCCTTTGCTCTTCGGCACCCCTCCCTTTTGGCCGCAGGGAGGGGGGGCTTCCAAGCCGCCTCCCTTCTGTAGCCCGAGTGGGGCGGGGAGGGGGGGGGTGAAAGAGAGGGGGGGGGGGGGAGTGCAGCGCCCAGAGCGCGGAAGGGAGGGTAGGGGGTGGGGGGGGGAGCTTCCGAAGGGCGGAAACAAAGAAGGGGGGGGGGCTTCCAGCAGGGAAGGTCCCAGGGGGGGGTCGCGAAGCCTCCCACCCCTTTGCACAGGGAGGGGGGGGGCGACGACTTTGCACAGGGTACCCTTGCGTCCTTGCTCTTCCTTGCTCTTGCGTCGTTGGGGTTTTCGTCGTCCGCCGCCCCAAGAATCCCAACTTCGGCTTCCAAGGGTCTTGCGTCCTTACCGCGCGTCCTTATTAGGGTTTTTGATAGTATATGTATGTATGTATGTATGTATGTATGTATGTATGTATGTATGTATGTATGTATGTATGTATGTATGTATGTATGTGTGTATGTATGTGTGTGTGTATGTGTGTATGTGTGTATGTATGTATGTATGTATGTATGTGTATACATATGTGTATATTTACATACAGATGTATGTATGTGTATACATATGTGTATATTTACATACAGATGTATACATGTGTATATATATGTATATACATATATCTGTATACACACTTATATCGATATGTAGATGTGTGTACGTATATGTATACACACACGTAGCACCCCCGCAGATACGGATATGGGGGCGGTGGGGACGTCGGCAGTTCGCGAGACTCTGGAGAAGCCCGCCGCAGGCGCCAGAGTGTAACATATTGTACAGCGAGCCCGCCGCAGGTGTAATTTTTTCGTTTGCTCAATGTGGGTAGGTCGCGGGTGGGTCGCTGGTGGGTCGCGGATGGGTCGCGGGGTGGGTCGCGGGGTGGGTCGCGGGTGGGTCGCGGGGTGGGTCGCGGGTGGGTCGCGGATGGGGGTGGGTCGCGGGTGGGTACGGGTGGGTCGCGGGTCGCGGGTGGGACGCGGGGGTCGCGGTGGGTCGGGTGGGTCGCGGGTGGGTGGGTCGCGGATGGGTCGCGGGGTGGGTCGCGGTGGGTCGCGGATGGGTCGCGGGGTGGGTCGCGGGTGGGGATGGGTCGCGGGGGGTCGCGGGCGGGTTGCGGGTGGGTCGCGGGGTGGGTCGCGGGTGGCTCGCGGGTTGGGTCGCGGTGGGTCGCGGGGTGTGTCGCGGGCGGGTCGCGGGTGGGTCGCGGGGTGGGTCGCGGTGGGGTCGCGGGTGGGTCGCGAATGGGTCACGGGTGGGACGACGACATCAAACAAACATCAACGCAACAAGCATAATCCTCACCACGGATCTCCGTTTTAGCCACGCACCCAGGACAATGAATGACCGTTCGGCCCCTTCACTCTGATACATAATATATGTATATATATATATATATATATATGTGTATATATATATATTATATATATATATATATAATATATATATATATACCCGGCGACGGGGTTCCCCGGCCCGGGGGCGGCCCACTTTTCCAAACCTCCCCCCCCCCCGGGTACCCACTGTGTCCCTGGGGGTCTGGGACCCATTGGGAGCTTTCCGGGTCGCTTTCAGAGGGGCTCTCAGAACCCGAAGGCGCTCCCCAGACGGTCCAAGAAGGCTCCGGCACGGTCCAAAAGTATTCCACAGCGTCCGCGCTGGCTTCAAGACAGCCCAAGACGGCCCAAGAGCGCTCCAAGACGGCCCAAGAAGCCCCCAAGACGCCCCAAGACCCAAGAGGCCCCCAAGAGGCCACCCAAGAGAGCCACAAGAAGCAAAAATCGTCCCATTCCTCCAGGAAAACGTATATTTTCAGCATATTCGCCTCTTGCGTGTTCACAGCGTCCACGACGGCCTAAGAGGCTCCCTAGACGGCCCAGGAGGCCCCCAGGAGGGTTCCAAGACGGCCCAAGAAGGGCCCAAGACGGCCCAAGAGACCCCCTAG